AGGGAAATCACAGACTTTTTTCTCCAGTGACAAATCCTCCAGCTCTGCTGGGGAAAACCAGAGGCAATTCAAGGCCATCTGACAGACATGGTCCCTCCATCATTTCCTGGGTCATCACTTGGGCCTCCTTCTGCTTCAGTTCAAATCAGTTTGTTTCTATAGCACCAATTCACAACATATGTAATCTCAAGGCACTTTACAGTTCACCAGATCATACAGTCAAATGCTTAGAACTCGTTCTGAAGAAAGCCATCCAGCCAGGGCCAACTGAAAAAGGTATCAGAACCAGCTGGCCAGTTCTGCTGGATCCTTGAACCCCAACTTTAAGGTGGTGGAGGATGGAGGATATTTTGTCGGGAACGGTAGGGTCTGGGTAACGGATCATACAAAGAGCGGTCAAAAAGGCCCCATGAAGACAAAAAACCAAGGCATGTGACGTTGCCCAGTACAGAGGAGCATTGACCCACCCCGGAGCCAAGGCTGAGGTTTGGGTTCACCAGCAAGCAACTGGTGTCCCGTTACTTCCCCATGGCACCAGTCCAAGTTCAAATGGTTGAAAGAGGATTAGGCTCCAGTCAGAGGCGGAGGCGACATGATCCACGGGTGCTTAAATTGGCTCTAAGGACATGGAATCAAAACTGAATAATGTTTAATAAAAAACTAGAGAGTGCGTTATTTTCTTGAACTTTTAAAAGTTGGTGTATGTAAAGATAAGGCAAAGATTGTAAACAGACATTAGAAAAAATAGCAATGCATGGGAACAAATAGAAAAAGAAAATGACCCAGAGCTGATGAGTTCTCCTCTTTATAGGAAGCAATGGTCCTCAGAAATTCTGCATTGAGAAGGTGGGAAAGGAATCCTGGCTTCCCAGAAGTCACACATGGTGAGTTTACAGACTGTTACCTTAACTCTTGCTAAACCTTTTCTATATAGTTGTAATGTTGTGTAATGTAATGTATTTGTCCTCAAACTTGAACCTACTTATATTTATGCTTCCAGCTTTAACAGACTGGACTTGCCGCCCTATAAGAGCTACGAAAAACTGAAAGAGAAGTTGCTCTACGCCATAGAGGAGACGGAAGGATTTGGACAGGAGTAAAAAGACTAGACATTTTGGTGCAAAAGAAAAAAAAAATTTGTGTTTAAATTAGGGAGTGTTCAGATGTGGCTTTTAATGATGAGTTCTACAGAACAACAGCGTTTTCACCTACTAAGCATGTTGTAATCATGTTGGTCTGAGTTTAAAGTCCCATGATCACATTACATTTACATTTGGAAGGTCTCTTTGTTTTGCGCACAGCCAAGTTCCTCCAAAAGAGAAAAAAAACTCAGTTTGGTTTGATGAAGACTTGCTTATTTAATTGTGACTTAGCTGATAATTAAGATGAATCTTCCTCAATAATCTAACATTAACATGCCTTCCCAAAAAAGAAAATTAAAAAGAATCCACTAGACATGGTTTCCAAGTTTGAAGACGTTTCGCTTCCCATCTAATGAGCTTTTTCAATTCAAAATGTCAGGAATAGCGTTGAGTTTGAGGTTTTACAAAGTAGCCCAAAGTCTTCAAACTTGGAAACCAAGTACAGTGGATTATTTTTTATTTTCCTTTTTTGGAATGATTATGAACTGGATGACTAAGAACCTTCACCAGCATTAAAATGCCTGCTAAAATCTCATCTAAATTAATGCAGAGGTAACAAACAGTCTTGGTGCTTCAGAGATTTGGGATTCCTGCTTCTTTTTTGAACTGGATTGTATCATGTCAGAGTCTGTGAACAGATTAATGATTGTGAACAGTGTTTGAATCCCCATTATATTTAGTGGTGGTGGCAAATGTTAAAAACCAATAATCTGACCCTAGTTTTATAGGGCCTGAGTGTACACTGTGGTGTGTGACAGGACAGTATGGATTAGAGTATTCTAGGAGAATCTTAATGTTCTTATTAACAGCACTTTAATTTTTCAGATGTACAGAAAGAGTATCAAATCAAAATGTCAACTTAAAATCTCAGGAAAATATGGACACAGACCAGTTTTACTCCCCAAAAAATATACAGTTAATCACTACAACCCTTTTCAATGCATTCCTAACCTAACCATTTACTGTCCTTATTTTGACATATAAATACTTTATAAATAGAACTCAATGAAGAAGGAAAAAAATATGTCAATAGGCATATGTATGAAATGTATATGTTTTTAATCCTTTATTTACGTAACTATTTTACCTGCACTGTTACTTGTGTTTTTTGTGCTGTCTGTAATTTTTATTAACAGTATACTGTAAAAATAACTATAGCTGTACTCAATACACCTCATTAATGATAATTCATGGTAAATATGTGGGAAGCAGATTTAAGATAAATGATAACATTTATAGCAATTCAGATAAACAGATGTTTGGCAAAAAAAAAGTATGTCAGGAAATTTGTCAAATTTATCAATAATATTGGTACCTTATATCATATATCTGCTTAATCACCCAGTTGGGTGTGATAGATGGCTGCTTCCACTGAGCAAGATTCTGGAAGTTTCTTCCAGGTGAAAAGAAACGTTTTACCTACTTTGTCGCTAGATGCTTGCTTGCTAAAAGGGTTTGTGAGAAAAGTTAAATACAAATGCTAATTGTCCACTGTAGCTCCATGCTGGAGAAAGAGTGAATCCTGTAAGTCAATGACTGCTGTCTGCTAGGTTTACACAGAAGTGTGTACAATAATCTGAACTTTCCTGTCTTGTTTGATTGCTACTATCAATCCACATGTTTGTGTTGTCAAGTTTAATTGCCCTTTTTTAAAGTAACTTGATATGATGTATACATGAATAAAGATCATTTAACTGAAAATGTTACATAATTGGTGGTGTTAATGCAGATTCCCATGACTTATATTTTAGTTTTGGAGCTGGACCAGTTCTAGTATGATATAGATGATAAAGTGCTGAAATCGCCCTTTATTGAAGGTTTCACAAATCAAAGAAAGGTTAAAAAAAAATCACAATTTTGGTTTTAAATATTCCCATACCAGATTAGAATAAACCAGTCCAGGTTTGAAGTGATACTGAACTTTTCTCTAACCTCCCCTTCATTAGATTACTGAAAAAACTGTTTTTGAACAACTAAACACCTTTTTAACAATGAGCAGCTGCTTTGATGTGTTCCAGTCAGGTTTCTGATCCAATTGTGTTCAATTACATCTTTATAAATGCAGACTATAGAACAACCACAGCGCTGGTATTATGGATGTTAATGCTGCACTTTATTCCATTGATAACTGCATTTTATTAGAGCGCCTGGAAAACTTTTTCCTGTTTTCCTGTTTGAAGCTTGTAGTAGAACACTGAAACAGCAGAGGGTGATCTATTTGAACGCAGAAGAAGCTCTGAGTTTCTAACCTTATCCTCTGTCAGATTTTTACCCAGCAGAGATGGTGACCTTATCATTAGATTAGTTTTAATCCTTCAGTGATCAGAAAAATGCTGGATAATGCAGTAGAGCTACCTATGAAGCTTAATTCATAGTTTCAGCTGCGAGAACAACTACTGTGTGAAAATAATGAATCTATCAGGAGGAAAGGTTAAAGTTTATCCTCATCATGTCACTGTCATAATGGGCTTTATTGTAGGTTAGCAAACACTGATGGAGATTGAAACTCAGAGGGGAAACAATGCTGGAACTCAGCGGACTGATGAACTGGAACTGGAAACTCTGAAGGGGAGATCACAGTGATCAGTTCAGGGACAGTGGGAAAATAGACTGAGACTTGAAAATTGCTTGAGAGGCACTCACTTTAGGGGGGGCTCTTGGTTTATCCTTGGATCCAGTTTGTGGGGGGTTTAATCCAGAGAAGCGGGAACACAGAGAGGGGACAGGCAGACATACGTTGGACCCAGAGGAGTAAAGGAGCGGACTGTCACTTTGGTTTTCGAGGAGTGGACTTGAATGGATCATGTGGAGGTTTTCCCCTTGCTCAGTGAGACTCAGTAAATCCTTCCAGGGGTAGACGGTCCAGGCTTATCCAGTATCCTCTAATTAGTTTGGAATTGATCACAATAAGAAACCTGGAACATTTTCAATTAGCAAATATGGAATAATTGATAAAAATACCAATCTTTGTTTTGTTTTTTATATTTCCCAGAAGCATGTTTTTCGAACTGAATGTTGTAAATGCTGAAAGTTGTAAGTGCTGCTCATAACAAAGTTTATTTTGTAAAAGATTAGGAATTGTCCCCCTAAATAATTGTTAAGTGTTGTGGTTCAAATAAGGAAAGGTGTTTAACACCTGCGGATTATTGTAAGACCTTACTGTTGGATTTATGTAGGATTACTTCCTTTGATACTTTATTTAAAGGTTAGAAACCATGTTCATGATGCGGAAATGTAAAAAAATAAAATCATAAAATAAAAAAAATGAACAGAAATAATCTGCCTTTTTCCCTATTTTCATTTTTTTATTCCTCATATCAAACTATATTTATTTATTTTTTTTCCATGAACTTAATGTTGTATTAATGAGCTAAGTCTGACTAATAAATATATACTGGGACAATATCATGTTTCCTACAATAACATAAAAAAATAAAATCATTTTCATTTTTTGAAATAACTGAGTCTAACTGAGAAAACGTGTTCTGAATCAAAAATCAAAATAAGAGATTTGCAATCGAACAAATGTGTTTAACCTTTTAAAACAGTAACTGCAGTGTTTTTAACTGAGGACAGGCTTCCTGCCACTCTGCAGTAGATTTTCTCTACATTCCTGATAAATCATTTTACCACAGACTGAAGCAAACATTTGGTACAAGCTACAACCAACGTTTTGGAAACATTCGTTTTTATTTCAAAAGCAAAAAGCAGACAGCTGCAGTTGTTTTGCTGAAAAATTGTCCAGATTTTTTTGTAAAGCTTGAAATTTTCTTAATTATCCATCATAAAATATGCACTCTTAAAAAAGCCTGCTGCGTTTTTAACAAAGCACAATCGATACTGGGAAAAGAACACAGCAAAATAAACTGTAAAAGTTAATATGCAAGAAATGTAAGTTAAGAGCAAAAACAAATTTGGTCTACTTATTTACTACTAAGTCTTTCTGCATGGAGTTTGCATGTTTTCCCTGAGCATGCGTGGGTTCTCTCCGGGTACTCTGGCTTCCTCCCACAGTCCAAAAACATGACTGTTAGGTTACTTGTCTTCTCTAAATTCTCCTAAGTGTGAGTGTGTGCGTGAATGGTTGTTTTTCCTTTTTTTTTTCTGTGTTTCCCTGCGATGGACTCGTCACCTGTCTGTGGTGGACCCCACCTCTCGCCCTGAGACAGCTGCAGGTAGGCACCAGCACCCATCACGACCCCAACTGGGATAAAGCGTGATGAAAAATGGATAAAATTATCACCTAATGATAACATTTGTTCAATCTGAAAAACTCACACGAAGAGAAAAGACAATCAGGAGAAATTTATTGATACAATTATTTTGTCTTTGGCGCTCAGACCTTGGCAGGAAACATAACATTGAATTTTGATAGATATGCGTGAACAGGAGCAAAGGATAGGGCTGTTTCCCCTAAGGCCTGAAAATGGTGGTGGAGTGGAAATGGGTGAAGTTGGTCAGTCTGTAGACTGCTGGTTATCGAGACGGTCTGCTGAGCTTTATGGGGAGATCCAGTGAATTGCGTGAGCTGATACTAGAGATTCACTCAGGGACCTGGAAGATGGAAGTCCAGTTAGATAACACAGGTTGAGAGAACCTGTCCATGATGAGCAAGCATGAAGCGACAGTGGAGAGGAAAAACTCCCTGTTGGGAAGAAACCTCTGGCAGAACCAGGCTCAACATGGCGGTCTTCTGCGGGACCAGTTAAGATGAGACAGGGAACGCAGTAAGAGTCCGGGACGACGCTCTGATGAGGCTTTAGCTAGATGGTGGAGTAGGGGCTGGAGGTGGGTTGAAACTGTGTCATCTTAATGAAGTCACACAGAGCCTCTGCTGCCTGCACACATGAGTGTATCGGAGGCCTTTTAAGATTAACTTTGGATGCAGATTGGCTTTCGTGGAGGTGTGGTTCAAAGCTGATTGGCTGTGTCGCATGTAGATGTAGGAAAGCAATGAGTTTCTTTAGTTGAACTTCCACCTAGGCTCCATATTTAATATGTAAGGAGTTTATCTGGCAGACAAAACTAAAACATTCAGAACAAATTCTGGTTTTTTAGATACTAAGACTAAGTAAAGGAAGAAATAAAGAGTGTAAATGTAAAAAGTGAAGTGCAGTAAAATTATTCTGATAAGTACACTTTTTAAAAAGTTACTCAAGTAAATGTTACTAAATAAATCTATTTAGTTATTACCCACCTCTGATATAATATATGCTTTTTCTAGTTTACTTCTCTCTATTGTTTTTCTGTTATTATCAGGAGTTCTGTGGGCATCCATCATTTGTCCCCCAAAGAGCGAAGTTATACAGTAATGACAATTTCCACATTAAACTGCAGAATTAGTGTAAATAGTGAAAAGACAAAAGGTCAATAAAACACAATGGGTGGACTAAAAATAAAACTATTAAAAATAACACATTCAAAAGCAATGCAAGGGGACACTGGCCTGAAACAGTAGATGTGATGATCGCTCTTTGAAATAAATAAAATAAGGGATATGGACTGATGGTTTAACCAGCAGATGACACTGTTTGCTCAACATCAGGCTGCAGAGCTAAACAATATAAACCCACTAATGTTGGTACTGTATCTGTCAACTCACCAAATCATCTCTTTCTGGGGAACATTACAATGCTAAATAGTTTTTAGTTATTTACTTAAAACTTTATCAATATTTATCACCTAAAATAATTAATCCCAGCTATTCATAGTACAAAATTGTGATTACTGCTCACCTTATTTTGAAAATACAGACAGGAAAAGAGGCTCCTGTGATTCTGGTTGCCTTTACTGCTGCAGCTCAGACTATGGGCTTGGTCAGAGTTGTTAGAGAGTCAGAGTGAGACGCTTTCCAGCTCGGGTCATGCAAGCATTGGAGGAAACCAAAGTTTGACATCTCACTCAGATAAAGGGTAAGGCACAAATTATCTAATTTAGATAGACTGATATATATTACTCAAACATGACTGCTTTTTGATTAAATGAGGCATCAGGGGAAATTATAGTTTACTTATGTTAAAAAAAAACAAAAGTACTAATTCAACTCAAGGTGAAATACTTGTCTTATTTACTTTAAACAGGAAAACCAGGTCATGCATTTAACCAGAAATGATTTATATGCATAAAATAGCTTTTGCAAAATGCAACTAAATTGACTGACAATAGTTTATATATCAGGTATAATTGCCTTTATTAAGTCATTAACAGTTGTAAATGTAAAATTTTCTGCTGTGTTTTAATGTAAAGAAGAAATGTAGATTGATTCAAGGGTCCTCACTGGCTTAATGGCTACTTCTGCTGTTTCCTTTCTAAGTAACATATGATTAGAGTAGACTGGTGTCATTGTTATGATCTCGATTTATGTAAAACATTGCAGATGAATGATGGGTCCTCTGTTACTAAAAGAAGCTCAGAAAGCACCCTGGCTTGACATTTGACATCAAAGATGGCAGTGATTTGATAGAGGATCAGAGAGTTTCCTCCCATAAGTAAGTTAAAGCTATCTGCTTCTGCAACAGCAGCTTTAAATGAAGGGCTCTGATTCAATTCAGCTTCACTAGACGTCATTAACCCTAAAGCAAACCTGGAGTTTGTTGTTATAAATGTTGAAGGATCTCCTCTAGCAGTCTGTGATACAGGGGGTCTGAGAAGCCTCTGACTAAAGACACCACAATGATGAATGTCAGTCTGAGGATGAGGATGCTCTGGGTTTTCTTTGATCTTCTTCATTTCAGCCTGGAAGTGTTTTATGTTTAACAATCAATAAGCGAAAACCTTAAAGTAAGATGGTCTGAAAAAGATATGAATTTTTTGCTCTTGTTTTCGCTTTTAATTGTTTTTAGGTCATCAGTGAAAACAGTCCCAGATAAAATAAAGAAGTAAAAAATTCAGTTTTCAAATAAAAAAATACTTTGAAACACCTCGGCTCCATTGTTAAAGAAAAAAATCCCCCTTTAACTTAATAATCGATGAGGTGAATTTTTACATCACTGTCAGGGATTTTGACCCACTATTCTTTGCAATCCCTGAATAAATGCCTTAAAATTAGGCATTAGATTCAGACAGAAAACAGAATTCAATAAGTCATCCAGGTCTTTGTTAAAGTCTAGGTCTTTTGGGTCATTTTAATTTAATTTATTGCATTTATTTCTTCCTCTCTATTGATTCACATTTCTGACCTTGATCACTTTGAATTGGCACTAAAGCACTAACACTAAAGCAAACAGAAGAGCTCACATCGCTCCAGTTCACATGTATTTGAACTGTTTAACTATTCTTTTTAAAAAATATATTTAAAAATCCTGACTTTAATGTTTATAGCCCTGCAGAAACAACCTCCTTCTGTATTGATAAATTGTAGCCTGCATTTCTAAATAACACTGAGGTTGAAACTAAAATCTTGTTGTTGTTCCCAAGACTTTGTATTTAACCCGAGGAGATCAATGTCTCATCTCTTCCTGCCTGTGGAGTTTCCTTTGTTATGATATTATGTTTAGTGTTCATTTACTGGAAAAAAAAAAAAAACAGCTTTTGGCTTTTTATTCTAACTTGTTTTTGTTTATTTATATTATCTGTATTACTGATTTTACTCTTTCTCTTTTTACTCTGATTAGTATTTTAATTATTGTTTAAATGTGATCATATTTTAATAATTTAATAATTTATCTGAAGATGGGATATTCATATAAATAATCGTTCTTAAACCTAATTTAAAATATAATCTGATTGAGTTTTGATTTCTAACAATAAGTCTAATAAAATGAATAAAAATGAATAAATATGCTTGAGTGTGATAATGGTATTTAAATGCCACTGTAGATGTAGTTTGACTTAGAAAGATAGATTAAATAAAAAATAACATCTTTTACATTAAATCTGAGAAATTCACAGAGGAATTACATCCAGATTCACACTAGAATCGTCTCTAAGGATCCCAGCAGCCTGGATGAGCTTCCAAAGCGTTTTCTGTTTTGCTTTTTCCCCTTAGGGAATTTGCATATTTCCTGGGTTATTTTCATACTCATCAGCAGTCACAACAACTCTACTTGCAGACTGGTTGACCAGAGCTTCAGAGATAAGATCCGGTGTTTTCTTGTCCCGCTAAAATGTTAAAATGTTAAACTAAAAAAGTTTCTCTGTAGGCGTGCACAACATACGAGGTTTGTTAGGCATAAAATGCAGAAAGCTCATTTTCTTGGTGTGTATTTAGGTTGACATCATAAAAATGATGCTGCTCTGCTGACAAGAGTGTTACTCTTGTCAGCAGAGACAAGAGTAACACCAGGTCAACAGGTTGAGTCATAAAAAAATATGAATTCTTTGTTTCTATTCATGAATCATTAAAAATCTGAATGTGGAGGTAAGACTTCGGTTAATATCACATTACGGTGGACGGTCAACAGTTTGACCTTGGCAGTGATCTTCTAATTGGTCCAAATCTGTTTATATCCCTGCTGAAAGGTTTTTGATCTGGCAGGTTTCTGTTAGTATTCCTAGTCTTATCTAGAGTAAAAGTGTTGTTATTCTAAATACACATATCACAGAGGCGCTACACAGTCTGAACTGCTTCTTATTCTTTCCTTTGTTGTTTATGGGGATGATGCTGATGGTATATGCAGGTGCAGATTTAGGAAATTTGGGGCCCTAGGCAAAGACAGGCAGGGGGCCGTCTGAATTCCCTCTGATAGAAGACAACACATAAAACAGACCCATTATACAGATTCAGACATTTTAATAGAATAGACATACATTATTTGTTCTACGTTTTTGTCCCTCTCTTCCTTTTTCTTGTTGTTTTCCTCTCAATGTTTTGTACTCAGCTGACTTTTCATGCTGTCTCAAAAGGAATAAAACTTTTTTTCTAATAGCTAAGCACATAGCTGATTGCTCCTTCCTGTGTTTCCAAACAGGCGACGGCAAAAGTAAATAACCCATTCCTTCTTTTTACTGTAGAGAAGTAATGATAAGCTTACCTGTTCTCCGTTTCTCATTTGGATGAAATAATAGCTGCATGAATCATGACGGTAGACAAGATAGAGGAGAGCAGGAGGCGGGGTTACCAATCTACTGGCTGAGTTCGCTGCTTTTAGATGTTGTTGCCAAAGTCTCTAGTAGCAGAAAAAAAGTTGCTAGATTCGGAGCTAGGCGCTTTATTGAAATAAAAGTGCTAGAGGGGTCTGAAAAGTCACTAAATATAGTGACAAAAGCGCTAAGTTGACAACACTGCTCTTCGCATCATTAGTTTTCAAATGGTTTGCTGCTGTCTGTTTGGACCTTTCTGAATATGTGCAGCAAATGGACTGATCCAGTGTGGTGCTAGTGGGGGGGTATGCTCTAAATATATTATATACTATTAAGTGAATATACTCACTTAATATTATAAGCATTCTGATGGCATTTTAGCAAAGGGATTTTTAAGAAAAACATAATTCATGTACAAAAATAAGAAATAGTTGTATTAACCATACATGTGAGCAGAGTTTTATGGGCCCCCCAGGAACTTGGGGCCTTAGGCAACTGACTAGTATTGCTTAATAGTAAATCCCCCCGAGGGGTATAGGCTCCACTAAAGCCCACATGCATGTTAGAGAAATTGTAGTAAATGCATTTTAATAGAGCACATTAACCACATCATATGGTTTTTAAATCATTAGATTTCTTTGGAATAAAAGCTTTGCATTGGGCACTACTGGAATGGCTAAAAGAGGAAATATAAAATGGTGGTAATGGCCTTGTGGGTAGTGCATTGGGCCTGGGTTCCAGAGCTTCTGAGTTTGAGCGCCACTCCCACAGACTGCCACTCTGGGTCCCTGAGTAAGAACCTTAAACCCCACACTGCTCCCCGGGTTCCGCACAATGGCAGCCCACTGCTCCACAACGGTTGAATTTCATTGCTTTGTAATTGCGACATTGTTATGACAATAAAGTTGAATTCTATTCTATTCTCAATAAGCACAGTTCATCCTTTTCCTATTCACTTAACTGTTATGCAAAGGGTGGTTAATCATGCAAAGCTCCAATAAGATACATTCAAAATTGTGCTTTAAAAAGAAACAGTGTGGACAGATTAAAATGATGAGAATGCACGTCTAGCTAATATTAAAAACGATTATTTTTGTTGCCTTTTAAGATATAAAACAATTTCTGACTAATTAATTATTCTCTCCTCTCTTTTTTATACCAATGTCATCAAACCTTCAAAGCTTTTTTTTTTTCTTTTCTACCCAGCACCAGCCAGTTCCTGTTTAGGTCTCATGTTGGAGACGTTGGAGTAGCTAAGCGTAGCTTGACTTTAAAACACCTCCCAGTTTTTCCTGGATGCTACAGTCTGACTCCACATTTGCGCGTGGGAAACTTCCACCCCCTGACCCCTAACCCAACCAGTGTCCCTTTGACTGGAACAGCCTGCTCTTGCCAGGAAGCTATCAGTGTATTAATAGGTGTTTTGGCCACCGCTTTGCCCCCCCCGATTTGCTGTCCAGTTTTCATAACACGAGCACTAACCTCCCCTCCCCCCAGAGGTTGTGAGAGAACCTTTGCTTATTTTAGTCTCAGTGGTAGATAGCTGGCACGTGGAGTTGCATTCTGCATGCAAATAACAGTTGCAGGGGTGCAGACATTGTAGCTGGATCTGCAGACTCATATCGATTAATTCAGCATGGTAGAAAAATCATTTTTAACATCTAAAATATGGATGCAGGAGTTAATGTAAAAAGTTTTAAGGATATTAAACATGCAAAAGACGTTAAAAGCAAAAGTCCGTATGGTTTATATTTCATCCTATTTTATTGCAATTCAAGAGAAGGAGAGGTTTGCAGTTTATGCTTGGAGAGAATAAATAAAGCAGCTCAGACAGATAGATAAAACACACATTCAGAGTTATCAGTAGCTGTGATGATGTGGAGGTGAAGCA